TAACTATTTTATTTATTATACTTGATGACGCTGATCACAATAGATCAGCAAAATAATTATATATTAAAGAAAAAAAGATATATATATTTAAAAAAAAGTTTATACGCAGCCGTATTTATTGAATTCTAACCATATTTTAACGTATAACAAGAAAATGACATTCAAAGATTATATTACTACTTTTTACGGCAAAATGATTTACGATGATACCAAAAAGTTACAAGATTTGAAGATGCGAAATGCAAACTCAAAAAATCAACTCGTTTTTCTTCAAAAGTGCTTATCCAATAACATAACTCTATAATTATTTAAAATAAAAACTTCAATTCATACTAAAAAAGCAAAAAACATAATGAAGGAATACAGTAAAAAACTACTAATTCATCCTCGTAACGAATCCAAACACAGATTATATTTCAAGTAAGAAATTAATTAATGAATTAAATACATTTCTTCAGACAAAAGTAATTTTACACGATTATGGATTAATTAACAGTATAACCAACAAATCAAAAAATTATTATTACATTAAGAAAAAAACGGAAATGAAAGAAAAATATCATAAATTACAAATTACACCGGTTATAAAAAATACTTTTAATCCTCTTAATCAAGTTATTTAACCTCCTCAATTTAACTAATGTTACTCTGGATAAATCAACAACTGAGCTATTCAATTTAGGTCCAAATTTTGTACCACTGCCAAAAAAAATTCCTTATATGGATATTATAACTAATATCGAAGCTTGCCCTTTGCAACTTGAAAAACTTGAAAAGCCAACACAGGCAGAAACTCTACAACAAAACTTGTACAAATTTTAACAAATTCGCTAAAATTAAGATTAAAAGATAATTTAACTAAGCAACAACGTCTCGATAAAGGCACAGGTTTCGCATTATTAAACCAAAAAGATGCATCTCTCAAATTAGAAGAACAAATTAAAAATAGCAAAATTATTGATTATGATCCAACATCCACATTGACTACTAAATTTCAAAGACAATTGTACAAATTAAGAAAAGAAGGTAAACTAGACACAAATACATACTTTAAAATGTATCCATCACATTGTAACCCACCAAGGATATACGGAATGATTAAAGCTCACAAACCAGAAAAAGATTACCCAACGCGCCCTGTTGTATTAACAATTAACACACCACCTTATGGAACATCTGATTATCTTGTTAAAATTATTCAACCGACTCTGAACAAAAATAAAAGTAGACTTATGAATTCTAATAGTTTTGTAAATGAAGCTAAGCAATGGATAATAGATCCCAACGAAGTTCAAGTTTCATTTGATATAGTCAATTTATATCCATCCATACCCATTAACGAAGCATCTCCGGTTATTATTGATATATTGAACGCTGACATTGATGACTTCAAAACTCGAACTAAACTTACTCTTGCAGACATACATGAATTAATTGAACTTTCATTAAGTATATGCTATTTTTTATATGAAAACAATATCCGAATAATACCTAATTCAGGTCCTATAAGTTTATCTTTAATGGTTGTTATGGCGGAAGCGTTTTTACAAAATATAGAAAGAAAAGCCCTTAACATAGCAATTATTCATACATCCGAACCAAAAAATTACAAGAGATATGTAGATGATTGTCATGCTCGCTTTGCTTCAATAAAACAACAACAAATGTTCCTGAACATCCTTAATAAACAACATCCTGCCATAAAATACACAGTGGAACTTGAAAACGACCTCAAACAACTCAATTTTCTAGATATCAACATGATATCTAGAGATATGAATTTCAAATACATAGAAAAGAAGCTATTACAAATGTTCAACTTAAACCTAACTCGAACATTAATCCTAACATTATTCTTGGCGTTTTCAAAGGATTTTTATGTCGTGCTAAAAGAATATGCTCTCAAAAACACCTTCAAAAAGAAATTGATTTTCTAATAGACATCTTTGTTGAAAATGGCCACGACAAGAACATTCTAAATAATATTACTATAGACTATTTAAAAAACGTTTCGAAAAACACCACATTTCAACCAATAGATACCCAACCCTATATAAAACTACCTTGGATACCAATTTTTGGTCCAAAACTTCGTAAAGAGTTTCGAAAGCAAAACAAAAAGGTTATTTTCACATCAACTCCCAATTTAAAAAATATTTTCTGCAACAATAATGTATGATTTAAGTTTATAACAGTTTTTAACAATTAAGCTAAATTTAAAACAACTTGTTAACTATTTAAAGATTTAAATAGTGAAACTTTTATTCTTATATTTACGTAAGAATATCAAATAAACATTATTTTTACAATTTAAAACATTTTGGCTATGGATATATATATTTTAGGAAAACATTTTCAATTAAAAAATATCATCATAAGAATGGGAATAATGCCATTTTGAAATATACGGTTTACGCATCTTCCTGCTGGGTAGTTTAGTTTAAATGCAACTGTGTCGATTCTCAAATCCATAAACATATTGGGATGCGTCCGACACAAGTTTTACCGCTCGCTCAACACTCTGGGAGTGAGATGGAAAGTCGGGGATTTCAGGTTTAACATTATTGTCAATCGCATTTTGGATTTGCTCAATTGAAAAATGTTGTGTTGTTGGGGGCTCCGCAAATTTAGTAATGCTGATACCTACCAACTCATACCAATGATTAGCATTAAAATTAATTTCTGGAATTTTTTTCAAATTTACTTCTAAACTTTCGTTGTTTACTCTATAAATATAAATCAAATCCAATTACCACATTTAATGTATCATTTTTTTTTTTAAAACTTTATTTTAGTTTACTATAAAAAAATACCTTTGCCTTAGACCCAGTAGGATTTGAAAACCAAAGTTTCGTATCTTGCTGTCACTATCTTTTAACGTGGCATAAAGAACATTTTCAGTTTTTTTTAAAAAAAACTCTTCTAGTTTTACCACTAAGCGACTTATTGGTCCAGTATTGGTAGCAGTATTATCAAAAAGAACAGCTTGTATACTTTCCAAACTGTTATGTTCTTGTAAAACACTAAACGTTTCGGTAGCAAGAACTAAACCTGTAGCACCGGTGACAGGAATCGTCCTATGAGTCAAATAATTTCCACTCAATTTTCCATCTTCATAAGTAAATGTGTGGTGATGTTCAGGTTCAATGCATTTCTTTAGTACTTCTCCTTGAGGTAAGTTTATTACTATACTTTTTTTAGTTATTTGATCGAGCTTGCTGTCAACCCCAAGACAGATTAACTGTTTTTTTTGTTCTGAGTCCACCTCTTCACTAACGATTTTTACTTTTGACTTGGCCCTATCTAACTTGCATTTGTCAATCAAAATATTTTTAATATCAACGTCATTTTTCAAGACTTGTTTTATGTCATGTAGTAAAGCATTTGCAAGGGCTGCACCTAACTTTAACGAACACTCATTTCTGACTAAAAACATTGCAAATCTTGGAAGTTTAACTAAATTGTATTTTCCAATAGGATTATTTACTGGTTTCCATTCACCTTCATCCTAAAAAGAGTTAATAAAATAAAACGCTTTCTGTTTCATCTGTTACAAATATTTCATGTATTTATAAAATATTTACCTCCGTATTGGTCAAACCACTTTTTTTTTTCTATTAAGTTTACTTGTGCTATGAGGGATTCATCTTCATTAAATAGCTTATGAGATATTTTTTGTCGTTCTTTATCAAGTCTTTGAATCCTTTTGACAGATAATCTATCGACGGAAGAAAGTTGATATGCACCTTTTGGTTTTTCTTTGGCTTTCCTCTGATCACGAAGATAAGCTCTGTCTTCCAGAGGTACTTTATTACTTTGAGAACAAAGGCATACAATATGTTTTTCGATGCAATTTTCTTTATTACATGAAACTTTTCTGTCACCACAGGGAAACACATCTAATGAACAGGAACACGCAGAAATATTAAAAAGTTTGTCCAAGTTTGCATCAAGATTTCTTTTAGCGCTTGCTTTTCCGTGCTTGCGATTAATATCCTTAACAAGTACGAGAAGGTCTTTAACTTTCCTATTGATAGATTTTTCAGTTATAAGAAGTAAACTTGGGTTTACTGTAGCCCAAATTGATTTTATATTATTGCTAATTTGCTGAGTCACTAATACGATATCTGCATTTGGATTTATATGAATAAGATAGTAATAATACTGAATAACCTGTCTAAAAGTGCTTGGATCTGTCGTTGATAGTTCGCATGGGCCGCCACAATATTTTTTTTCACTTTTCATCCGTGTAATTGCAACCTTTACTTTCGGCATTTTTGTAGATTAATTATATATGTAAACTGTATTAAAGTATTACACTTAGAGTAATGGGCAACGGTATGGGTTTTTAGTGGGGGCCAAAGCATCAAAAAAACCTAAAATATTAAAACTTACTATTAAAAACCTGCTTTGATAAAAAATAAAGAAATTAAACTCTTTTGAAAAGATTTGGGGGCCATGAATTCAGGGAACTCAGGAATTGAGTAAAACCATTAGTTCCATCGAAAAGTTTTATATTATATATATATATATATATATATATATATATATATATATATATATATATATATATATATATATATATATATATATATATATATTAGTGGTGTTTTTATTAAAAAACATTTTAAAACATGCGTAAATGTTGCGACATCGACTATCTTATAGCCTGCTGCTACAAGGGAGTGTTTCTACATCAACTATCTTATAGCCTGACTCGCAACGGAGTGTTGCTACATCGACTGACAAATAGCCTGACTCGCAAGGAAGTGCTGCTACATCGACTGAGGGTTTCGTTTGGGCAGGCAGTCTATCATTGAAAAAAAGAAAAAAACTAAGTTTTTAAACTTTTTCTGGTCTGGTTTATTAACGCGCTCTTCAAAACTACAGTACGGGAAACTCTTTTTGACTACCATGCAAGAGTATATATATATATATATATATATATATATATATATATATATATATATATATATATATATATATATATATATATATATATATATATATATATATATATATATATATATATATATATATATATATATATATATATATATATAATTTTAAAACATCAAAAAATACAGCTTCTCTCAATACAAATAATTTTATTATAGAAATTTTTGCTGGGTTATGGATACCAGCATCATCAGCTTGTAAAGTATTACAATAATTTTAATCGTTATTGTTTATGTAAAATCGTTAGTATTGACGTCAGCGGTTGAACGGCTTCTTTTGATTTATAAATTTTAAAAATGGCGTCCAAAACATATTGGCCTTCATCAAGATTAATTCCGCCGTTTCGTGCAGAGCACATGTTGTTTTGTATTTCTAGTGCCTCTCTAATTTTCTTTCAAATTTTTCTTTTCAATCTTTAACGTTATTGTTTTTTCCCAAATAATATTTTCTTTGCGAAAGGTTTTATGAAATGCTAATGCAGTTTGATTAGGTTTGTTTTCGTTAATGCTCTTCTGATGTTGATGCATCCGCGTATTTACCTGCATTTTTGTTTCACCTATGTAAACTTTGGAGAAGTTTTATTTTATTATATAGGTTCCAGGCTGACTGTTACTTGGTAGTTTTGTTTTGCTTTTTGATGTTAAAAAAGATCTTAAATTTGGGTTTTATTTAAATACTGCTCTGTACCCTGCTTTCCGAAATATTTTTCGAAGTTTTGGTGAAAGGCCTGGTACCCAAGGTAAAGACACTACAGGAAGATTATTGCATTCTGATGGAATTGTGTTTTTATTTTGTCTTCTTTGTTGAAATTCGTGTGTAATATTGTAATTATCAATAGCTTTTCATTGTACCCATTTTCAATAAACATGTCAATTAAAAAAATTATTTCGTTTTGCATGATCTTTACTAAAAATGATCTTTACTACAAATGGAGTAAGCTCTGTGGAGAAAACCTTTAAATACAGCTGTTAAATTATTCGGATCGTGATTTGAATGCGGTTTAATTTGAATGTTAGTGATTGCCTCTTTTTGATATACTTTGAACTCATATTTTCCTAGTGTGTAATTTGTAATGTTTATATCAAGATACCTAAGGGTTTTTTGATTCGTTTTCAACTTCAATTGTGTATTGTATTGCAGGATGTTGTTGATTTAAAATATCTTGGAACTGTTTTGCTTGTTTGATGTTAGTAAATCTTGCATAACTATCGTCAACGTATCTTAAAAATGATTTTAGATTAAGAGTTTAATTTATTGTCAAAGCCATTTTAATTGCATTATTTTCATGGAATTATAGAAAAGATTCCGCGAGAACAACCATGAGAGAAAGCCCGATTGGTCCTGAGTTTTCCATTACGTGAATCTCATTGTTCCAATGAAAATAACATCGATATAAGCAAAGTTCTATGAGTTGCTTTATTTCAGGTATACTTAGTTTTGTTAAGTTTTTGTATGATAAACTGTTATTTAATTGTTATAAAAGTATAACGGTGGTTTCTTTTAACGGAATTGACGGGTATAGATTTACAACATCATAAGACACTTGCAGGGCCGGCGCTAGTATTTTTTGGTTTTTGAGATAGCTAACTTCCAGACATGAAGCAAACTCCAAACATATATATATATTCATACTTATGTCAAATAAGGATGCTTTGCAAAAAATTGCGATAATTGGAGCTTGGAAACAACATAGTCCCAAAATTTTTGCCTAGTCTACCCCAAACGTGAGAGCAACAAGTTGATAAAATATTTTTTGTACTATTTTCAACTAGACTAATATTCATCGAAAAATTTTAAGTTTTATAGTATAATTTCTTAGTGTTCAAAAATTATAACAATATAAAATTTGCAGCCCCCTCAAATTGAGGGGGGTTTAAATATTATATAGTCATAATTTTTGAACGCTAAAGTATTTTACTATGAAACTTAAAATTTATCGATGAATATTAGTCTAGTTAAAAATAGTACAAAAAATATTTTATCAACTTGTTGCTCTCACGTTTGGGGCATACTAGGCAAAAATTTTGGGACTATGTTGTTTCCAAGCTCCAATTATCGCAATTTTTTGCAAAGCATCCTTATTTGACATAAGTATAAATATATATATGCTTGGAGTTTGCTCCATGTCTGGAAGTTAGCTATCTTCAAAACCAAAAAATACTAGCGCCGGCCCTGGACACTTGAATATCATTGTTGGCGAAATTCCAATTTTCTGCTTTTTTATAAAGTCAAAAGAATTTTTTAATTGTGTCGGATTTTCATTTAAGACTGGTTGTATTGTCTTAACTAAGTATTCTGATATTCCGTGGTTTAGTGTGCCAATGATAGAAATAATTATTCTCATCGGGTATGATTTTTCTAGTTTATGAGCTTTTAATAATCCATACAAGTATATATATATATATATATATATATATATATATATATATATATATATATATATATATATATATATATATATATATATATATATATATATATATATATATATGATATATATATATATATATATATATATATATATATATATATATATATATATATATATATATATATATATATATATACATTTATAAAATTTTGCTAAGTGATTTTCTACTAATGTAATTGTAATTGCTTTGTTCTTTTAAGAACATTGAGCACTCTTTTTGTAGAATACATTTTATATATATATATATATATATATATATATATATATATATATATATATATATATATATATATATATATATATATATATATATATATATATTTAAACAATTTAAAATGTATTCTACAAAAAGAGTGCTCAATGTTCTTAAAAAAACAAAGCAATTACAATTACATTAGTAGAAAATCACTTAGCAAAATTTTATATATATATATATATATATATATATATATATATATATATATATATATATATATATATATATATATATATATTTCTCTCGATACTAAATTTATTTTTTAAAAGAAATTTACTTTTAAAAAATAAATTTAGTATCGATAATACTTTTTAAACTGGAAACATTTATTTTTAAAAACAACAACATTTGTTAGTGTAAAATAACTTACAGAAAAATACAACCTTAACTTAGACATGATATAACTGCCTAGTAAAAATTATATTGAAATTCAAGTGTTAAAATGTTTTAAATAGAGGCCTTCGAAAATTCGAAACCGAATCAAATTAATAATATGATTCGAGTTACGATTCCAAAATTTTCAAATTAAATCCTTACTTATTTTGTTTATGTTGTGGGTATTTTAAATATTCTACGCTTTGGCGCTATCAAAATAACGTTACTTATCCTTAAATACCTTTTTAATCAGCGTTTAAAAGTATAATTTTCTTTATAATAACAAAATTTATAACGTTTATTTCTAAAAATAATTTGATATAAACTTAAGTTAACTTTTTGGTAACTTTTTTTTCAGAAATCATAAAAAGCTTTATTTATGAATTAAATTTAAGGATTACATCATTTATGCAATATATATATATATATATATATATATATATATATATATATATATATATATATATATATATATATATATATATATATATTTATATATTATATTAAAATAATAATAAAATTAAATTTGTAACATAACTCAGAATTTTAAGCTTTAAATTATTCCTATTAAAAATTTTGCGAAACTGAAAATGCTTTTCAATTCGATTTAGAAAATTTTTTGCAACGTTGGTTTTTACATTATGCGAAAACAGAGGATTAAACCAAATAATGTTTTGTGATCTTGATTTTGATTTTGGTGGGACGAGATTTTTTTTGAAAGTAATCTTTTCAATGAACCCACTTGCTGCTAACGCATTGTTATAAAACGATGTTGCTCTATCGAAAACTTCTTTGCTAAATGAAATATTGCTTATACGGTTAGATATCATAGTTGGTATGGATTTAATTATACTAGGAGGGTGGTTAGAATTTACGTTGATGTATAATGGGAGGTCACCTGGTTTTCTGTATGGCTTGAAAGTATTTTCTAACAGGTTGAAGGTAACATCAAGAAAGTTTACAATTTTTAAGTTGGTTTTGATAGTAAGTTTTAGATTAAATTTCTCCTTAAAAAGATGGACAATGTTTTTCTTTATTCTCTCGGATTGCGGTCCATTAATTCCATGAAAACAACAAAGTCCATCATCTCTATATAATCCAACGGTTTTCAACCCATAGTCTTGACTTAAAGTATGTAAAATAAAGAGTCCAACTAACTCACACACCTCAGCCCCATCGTAACTTCCCATAGTGACGTCAAAATTAGGATCACCAAGTTTTTTGACTCAGAAACTATTGTGTTCAGTAAACAATAATGATTTTCTTGAGTGATTAATAATATCTAAAGTATATTCTGAAATTTTTGTGAATTGCTTGGCGTGAATAAGCGAAATTTGAAGTAATTCTTTAGAAATAGAAGAATAGAACTCTTCGATATCAAACTGGATGAAAGTGCAGTTGTGTTTGTCTTTAATATTGCGGAACCAATTTATAACGTCATCCGTATTATGCAATTGATTTACAAGGGTGGCTTTTCTCACTTTATTGTTAATGTTTTCCAGTAAAGTTTTACTAACCTTTCCAAGTTCTGGTTTAGATAGATTAATTAATCGACATTTAGTATTGTTGAAAAAATCATCTTTGTGATCCTTTATAGTTATAAACGCAGTATTCATTGCAAGACATTCCGTCCTGTTGTCAATACCCAAGTTTTTAGCAGTTACTTTAGCCGCATTATTAATGTTATTATATTGCGAATTATCAGATTTTTTGTAAGTTTTTCATTGTTTTCATTGAAAAGTTTATTGTAAGAAGATTTTTCAAGCTCGTAAATATTATGTGATTTAACCGCAAAAAGAAATATTTTTTCTGATGATTTAATTTTGCAAATGTCACTATTTAGTTTTTGAAACTGATTGTGGAAATTAGTAAATGAAAATTTTTGTACCATTTTAAGTAGATCGTTTTCTAAATTTACTAGATTAGTTTTATTTAGCAAATCGATAAATATTTTCAATAAAAAACATTTCTAATTTTTATTTGATATAAAGTATATTGTATATTTTGCAACAAAGTTTTGCTTTTGTTTTGTTTCTAAAATAAATTATCGCTACAATATTAACGACTAGAACCGATATCAACGCTTTTATGATTTGCATCGCAGCCACGAAACAATTCGTTTTTTGAATATATCACACTACTGGCACCTTATCGACAAAAATATCTTTTTAGTATGTATCAAACTTTTAATAAGATTAATTTAAAAGTTAGTTATAGCTGTCTTCCAAACTTCACCAATATTAATAACTCACACAATAAAAAAGTATTATCTAATGTTTCCAACACAATTGTTCCAACATGTAACTGCCGGCAACCTTTACAATGTCCTTTGCAAAGTACGTGTCTTAGTAAAAATATAATTTACATCTGCTTTGTAAAAACATCAATACAGGATAGTGGTTTAAATATATTGGTTTAACAGAGCACTCCTTTAAAGATTGCTGGTACAAGCATAAGAATTCTTTTCAATACGAAAGTAAAGCTAACGCCACAGAACTTTCTAAATATATCTGGGAAATGAAAAAAAAGGGATTTTCAAATCCTACTCTTACGTGGAAAATTATTGATAGGGCAGAACCTTTTAAACCCGGAAGAAAGTTATGTAACCTTTGTTTAACGGAAAAATACCATATCATTACATCATCTTTGAAACTATTAAATAAGCGAAATAAATTAATATTGAAATGTCGCCACAAAAACAAATTTGTTATCTGCAACTTTAACGTCATCTAAGCAAACACTGCATTGTATTTTTGTTTGTGATTTTTGTTGTTGTTATGGTTTGTAACGTCTGATGATCGCTTATAGCGTGAAACTCTGAGTTAAAGGCCGTTTTCCACAAGACAAAAAATTCGCGCGAAGCAAATATTTTCGTCGTTAAGCATGCGCAGATTAAACATTTTTGGCGATTATACTGATTTTTTTTCGCTACAGCGTTCCGCTGCAGCGAAAAAAAAAGTCGGATTTATTTCGACTTTTTGCGAATCGCCATAAGCGAAAACCAATAAAATTTTGAATATTATATCACGTGATGTCAACATTGAAAAAAAGCGAAAACATGTTGTTTTTAAAGTAACAAAAAACAAAGTTCTTAACCTGGCGTTCTTATTAATTTTATATGAACTTACTCTAAAAATTGGCTAGCATGAGTAAATTTATCAAACAAGGGGCAAGACTTACATAAAAAAATGACCAGACTTATATATAAAACTAAATCGAAAATTTACAAATATAAGTTTTCACACTGTCAATTACGAAAGTTACACTTCATAAGAATGTTTATCTTCAAGTGGCCACACGAAGATAAACCGGCGGACCTGTACTCGGTGCACCCTAAACTCGATGAAGTTCGTAAACGAACTCGGTAAAGTTCGAAACAATATTTTTGCCGTTTAATGATTGGCTAATATTAACGAATGAAAGTTTAGCACAAAAGTTTTATTTCGCGCTTCAAAAGCCAACTTTTTACCGCCTTTAAAATAAGTAAAATGACACCTTTAGCTGAGTTCATTGAAAGTATCAAAGAAGAAATTGGTTGATTTTTTGCAACAAAAAAGGCTAATGCCACTTCAAAAACTTTGTCTATGTGGTCTAAGGATGCTTGTGCAAAACTATGACGTCAATTCGAGCAGGATTTTTTGTAAGCTCTACATCTTTAAGTGTCAGTCTGATACTTCAATTAATGTTTTTATGGATCCTGGAGGTTCCTGTAACCGCTGCATCTGAGGTAGTAGGTGTAAACGAATAAACCTTAATTCAGTGAAGCAACAACAAATCATGTTGAGTCGTTTTGGTGTCGGATGAAACGAAGGTTAAAGTATGTTTTTGGATCACAGGGTGATTTAAAGTGGTCTAGGCTAGATGAAGCTGTATACAAAGAATATTATGATTTTTATAATAAAAATGTTTGTAAAAATTTCTCTTTATTCTTAAAACATATTAATGATAGCTATCCTCTGTAATGTAAAATAAGTATTACAATATAATATTTACATTAAAAATGTTTCATAATATTTATATTGAACTTGTTTTTTTTTATGTACAACACAAAATATACGTTGCAAAAACTAAAAGAAGATAAGCCACAAAAAGATATGCAAAGAAGATAAGCTACAAGAAGATAACTGTAGAAGATCGATTAAAAGAAAATTAGCCACAATAAAATATGTAAAGAAATAAAGGTATCTACCTTTAGAAGATCGATTAATAAAAGATAAGCTACAAAAAGAAATCTTAAGAAGAGAAGATACCTCTAGAAGATCTATTTAATCTAATATTTAATGTACATATGTTGATAATTTGTAATTTTTTTTTTTTTTTCTAAAATGTTAAATTTTTATTAAAATGCATTTACGCAAAGTTTTTGATTTTTATTTTCGACGTTACCATTATGGCGCGATTTAGCGTAATATTTTAGCGCCGATTACGTAAAATACCAAAAGCAAACACCGAGAATATTCGTTCCGAGAATTAACGAACTTCACCGAGTTTAGGGTGCGCCGTGTACAGGTCCGCCGATAAACTATTTTGTGAAAAATTTTTTATAGAGTTAAACCTGCTGTTCGTTCTTGCAGTAATAGTTTTTAATAGAAACGTTCATATTAGAGTTTAGCATTTATTTTCTTATACCTTCTTGTAAAAAAAAACCTTATATCAAACGATTAAATTACAAAATAATATCACATCTTACATATAAAGGCAGAAATGTTAATATTAATGCACGAAAAGAAATTTTCACATGCTTCAAAGTAGAAAGTATGCTAAAAAAGTATTAACTGCTTTCAGTTAAATAAACAGCGTAAACTTATTGCTGCCATTTTTATTGTTGACAACGAAAAAAAAGTAGCGCGAAAGAAAGTAAGTGGAAATCAAAACAGCGTTTCGTCGTAGCGAAAAAATTCGCTTCGCGCGAATTTTTCGTCTTGTGGAAAACGGCCTTTAAGGCCGTTTTCCACGCGGCTTTCCGGCGGATTTCCACGGAGCGAATTTTTTCGCGCGAAGCGAACTTTTTCGCCACTAACTTTTTCGCCACTAATTTACGTTTACACGACCAGGAATACTTTTTTAAGTATTTTCGTATGTCTCCAACAACTTACGAAGAGTTGCTTTCGTTTGTAGCGCCTATCATTGTAAAACAAAGAACTACCATGAGAGACCCTGTGAGTCCGAGTAAAAGGCTGGCCGTAACACTTAGATTTCTTGTAACAGGAGATGCTCAGTGTACTATTGCTGCAAGTTACAGAATCAGCGCATCTACTATCAGTAGGATTATTAGTGAGACATGCGCTGCTATCTAGACATCATTGAAAGAGAGAAATTTTCTACACGTCCCATCAGAAAAACAAGAATGGAAAACAATTGCAAAAGAATTTGAAAACATGTGGAATTTTCCGCATGCTATAGGTGCAATAGATGGCAAGCACATTGTTATGCAAGCTCCTCATAATGGTGGATCAGAGTATTTTAACTATAAGAAAACGCATAGCATAGCTCTTCTAGCTGTTTGTAATGCTAAATACGAATTTACTATGGTAGACATTGGTGACTCGGGAAGACAGAGTGATGGTAGCGTTTTTAACAACTGCAGTCTTGGTTATGCAATTGAAAATAATAAATTGAATATTCCTGATCCCGAATATATTGGTAATTCAGAAAAGGTGTTACCGTACGTTTTAGTTGCTGACGATGCTTTTGGTTTAAAAAGACACATGATGAAACCATACCCTAATCAAAACATTCCTTTAGATCAAAAAATATTCAACTACAGACTTTCAAGAGCCAGAAGGGTAATAGAAAATACATTTGGTATTGCTACAACACGCTTTTGAATATTTCGCAGACCAATTATTGCTAATCTTGAAAAAGTCATTTTAATTACACAAGCGATTGTAGCCCTACATAACTTTTTTATGAAAAAAAGATCAGCAAACAATTATGTCTACTATCCCACAAATTACACCGATATCGATGGTCTTGCTGGATTTAGACCAGGTGAATGGAGACAAGATAGTTCATGTTTTGCTACGCTACAACCAATGTCACAATCAGGTTCTAATAACTACTCAAAAGATGCAAAGCAAGTTAGAGATGACTTTAAAGAATACTTTAATACACCAGAAGGAGAACTGAAATAGTAACTAGACTTGGTAAATAGAAACTTGTAATGGTGAACGTATAAGTCACTATTTAAACCATGTAGTTTAAGGCTAACAACTATTACTCAAAAAATTTACATTTTTTCTGGTATTTCTTTAAGGACAAAGTAAATTATGTTAACAATTGATATAGTAAAATTGTAAGACTTTTACCAGGTAGAGCGCATATACTTTTAATAATATAATAATAATTTTATTACAACAATACTTAAAATCTTGAACTTCAAAATAATAATTTTTATGTTGATCTAAAGATTGCTTTTTACATATAAATATTTCATAGAAAAGTTAAAATTAAAAGTTTTTAAACTTAATAAATAATTACACCAATGCAAAAAAAACCTGATAATGGGAAAAAAGTCAAAAGTAAGAAGTACATTAAAGATGTTCTTAAAAATAAAAATACATCGATAAAACAAATAAAATATAACAGAAAATTATTATATATATATATATATATATATATATATATATATATATATATATATATATATATATATATATATATATATATATATATATTTATATATATATATATATATATATATATATATATATATATATATATATATATATATATATATATATATATATATATATATATATATATATATATATATATATATATATATATATATATATATATATATATATATTATAATTATAATTATAATTATATATAATTTACTCTAAATCTCTTCATTCTCACCTTATTTCATGTTGAAAAGTAGTGTTTTTATCTTTATCATAGCCCGTCTATTTTCTTTTATTGGAAGTTCTTTCATAATAGGAATAAGGCTTCTACAAAATAGGGTAGTTTCATCTTCCTCACCATCTTCCATTGACTTTTTTAATATCTTGTCACACTCTACTAATGATTGTGACAATTGTGACAATGACTCATCATTTTGATTTTTGATTCGTGCCTTCTTTTGAATAGGTGATCTGGTATGGCTTAATCTTTTTCGATTTTCAGTTAGAATTAATTCACTGCTAAAACTACTGGTACTTGGACTTGATTTTGTAAAACTACATTGTGAGTGAAACGATGATGGTGAAGCAACATCTGGGACAATATCAACATTAGATTCTGTTGGTTTGTTTGCACTTTTTTCATGCAAAAATGTCATTTGATCAAAAAACTTACATTTTGGTAAGTTTGAGGCTGCTGCTCCTGATCTGGTCATACGGTTACGTTTATCTAAACATTTTCTTAGTGTATCTTTTAGATTTTTTAACTTTTTCTGAAGTAAGTCCTCTTCTTTACAAAATATTAATGCAAGTTTTTTCCAAGCGTTTACCTTAACCAATCTGTCTTTGTATGTGGGGTGATTCACATCCCACAAGCTTGGAAGCTCACGAACAGCTTCTATAAAATGATCTATATTGAATTCAGTAGAAATAAAATTATCGTTTTCATTCTCTTCGTTTTCGTCTATTTCATTAATTACTTCTTCATTCGTGATTGCAACTTGATTTTGAGAAGCATTTATTAAAGCTTCCAATAAATCTACGCTAACATTTCTTTCTTTAAACCACTCAATAAACGTGTTACTATTGTCGGCCATTAAAATTTTGTTGTGTTTTTTTTTTTTTTTCTACATGCTGAATTTTTATATTTGCTTAATTTGCATATTTCAAAAGTTCTGATTGGCTCTTCCTTCAAGCGAAAAAATGCGCTGCCGAAAAAGTTGAAGTCAATCCAACTATTTTGCAAAGAGAAAAAATTTGCAAGACGATAAAAAAAAATGATTGTGCGCATGCTCAGAAATATTCACGGCGAAATACTTCGCTTCGCGCGAAATAATTCGCTCCGTGGAAAGCCGCCTTTAAGGCCGTTTTCCACAAAACAAAAAATTCGCGCGAAACGAATTTTTTCGTCGTTAAGCATGCGCAGATTAAACATTTATTGATTTTTTTTCGCTACAGCGTTTCGCTGCAGAGAAAAAAAAAGTCGGATACATTTCGACTTTTTGCGAATCGCCATAAGCAAAAACCAACAAAGTTTTGAATATTATATCACGTGATAATCATTTAATATTAAAAAAAAGCGAAAACATGTTGTTTTTAAAGTAACAAAAAACAAAATTCTTAACCTGGCGCGTTCTTATTAATTTTATATGAACTTACTCTGAAAATTGGCTAGCATGAGTAAATTTATCAAACAAGGGGCAAGACTAACATAAAAAAATGATCAGACTTATATATAAACTAAATCCAGAATTTACAAGTATATATTTTCACACTGTCAATTACGAAAGTTACACTTCATAAGAAGTGTAACTTTCGTAACGAAGAAGTGTAACTTTCACACGAAGATAAACCTTTTTGTGAAAAATTATACATAGAGTTAAACCTGCTGTTCGTTCTTGCAGCAACAGTTTTTAATAGAAATGTTCATATCAGAGTTTAGCATTTATTTTCTTATACTTTCTTGTAAAAAAAACCTTATATTAAATGGTTATATTAGAAAACAATATCACATCTTACATATAAAGGCAGAAATGTTAATATTAATGCACGGAAAGAAATTTTCACATGCTTTAAAGTAGAAAGTATGCTAAAAAAGTATTAACTGCCTTTAGTTAAACATACAGCGTAAACTTATTGCTGCCATTTTTGCCAACTGCCAAACTTATTGCTGCCATCAACGAAAAAAAAGTAGCGCGAAAGAAAGTAAAGGCCGTTTTCCACATATAGTATAGGCCGTTTTCCACATATAGTAAAGGCCGAAAAAAAAGTAGCGCGAAAGAAAGTAAAGGCCGTTTTCCACAAGACGAAATATTCGCGGGAAGCGAATTTTTTCGCTATGACGAAACGCTGTTTTGCTTTCTTTCGCGCTACTTTTTTTCGTTGTCAACAATGAAAATGGCAGCAATAATTTTACGCTGTATGTTAAATTATAGGCAGTTATTACTTTTTTAGCATACTTTTTAATTTAAAGCATGTGAAAATTTCTTTCCGTGCATTAATATTAATATTTCTGCTTTTTTAAGTAAGATGTGATATTATTTTGTAATATAATCATTTAATATTTTTTGTTTTTTGTTACTTTAAAAACATATTTTCGCTTTTTTTTAATGTTGACATCACGTGATATAATATTCAAACTTTTATTGGTTTTCGCTTATGGCGATTCGCAAAAAGTCGAAATGAATCCAATTTTTTTTTTCGCTGCAGCGAAACGCTGAAGCGAAAAAAAATCAGTATAATCGCCTAAAATGTTTAATCTGCGCATGCTTAACGCCAAAAAAATTCGCTTCGCGCAAACATTTCGTCTTGTGGAAAACGGCCTTTATGTTACAAATTTAGTTTTATTATTATTTTAATATCATATATATTTGCTCTACTTTTGTATTGAGCACTGTCTACCGAAATATTACTTATATTACTGGTATATATATATATATATATATATATATATATATATATATATATATATATATATATATATATATATATATATATATATATATATATAAATATTGAAAATATATATTTTATATTTATGTAATATAAAATTAGTATAGTTAAATATACTAACATACATAGTAAAACCAATTAAACTCTAGCATGTTTTAATCAAACTCTAAAAAAAAAACTTACTTGAAAAACTGTATAAAAAATTCAAGCAAAGTCTACTTGTAATCCACACCCATGAAATATTACCGTCATAAAAAAATATCTTTTTAATATATATCTAACTAACTGCATCACAAGTTAAGCCATATGATATTGTTAAATTGTCAAATTCAAAACCTTATAAAAAGGCCTTAAAAATGTCTAGTAAAGTCACGCATTCGTATTTGAGTTCTCAAAATGCAATACGAACGGTCGAACTCGTAATATAGACGTTGAATTAACGTGGAATCAACGCCGATTTTATTTTGATAGTTTTAAACAAGTTTTAAACGTTGATACAATGATGATTTTTGGTTATACAACGTTGCGACTAAAAATCAACCGTAAATCAACTTTGAAATAACGTCGTGTGCCCACTGGGTAACTATAGCTTGAATTTAAGTTTGCACCTTTTATTTGCTCAAATCAAATTTCAAATTTGAAGTACGACTTCAAATTTCAAGATCGCTTTTAGCATTCTCAATTTTTTCAAACTTAACTATTGTTCTAACTAATGATTAATTGTCATAGCTACTCTCGCCTGCGGGTGAGGGTGATTTGGGGTTGGAGACGCATATTAATTTTTAATTGTTACTTTTTAATTCCGTCTGAAGGAATAAAGTAATATTGTAAAATGATATAATGAGAATCTTTGTACAAAGTTTAGCAAGTCTTAACATTGCTACCTTAGCATGCTACAAAGCACTTTGGTTTACAAGTGCTCTAAATGGAAGTGATGACTACTTAGTTCAGAAAATTGATGAGCTTAGTTAGGGAAGACCTTAAGAAATTCAGAGCAAAATTAGTGAAATCAAAAATCTTAAAGCAGTTGAAGCATATATTGTAGCGAATTACTCTACTAAAAAGCAATGTTTATTAAAAACAAAATAATTCTCTTGAACTAGTCGATGAAGGTGACAGCCTTTTTGATTGCAAAGGCGATAAAATTGAAATAATAGATGTTAATGAAGAGCTTTCTAATGAAGGAATTTTTGCAGAAGAACAAAATACCTTCAAAAATACTACCAATCTAGCTGGGAGCAACAACATTGGAAATACTAAACAAGCGCCGAAGCAATTTCGATAACAAATCTAGACCTAGCTAGACCCACAATGTTAAAACGAGGAGTTGAGGATAGATGCAAAATTTCTTTACAAGGTTAGTTTATTGTTGCAGACGCAAGAAACTTTGGCAAGGCTCAATACCTTTATCACTATTATCAAAAAGCAATATAATATTGCGCACAAAAATGAAGAAACGGATCCTAAAAGAGAAAAATTCAAAACTTGTTCATTTTTTTTTATTTATTTGAAAAAAAGTTTAGATTGTGCTTCTAAGTTTTCTTGTTTTTTTCTTGTGTTTTTGTGTTTTTAGCTTTACTATCTTTTTTTCAATACGACCCTCCTGTTTATTACGATTCCTTCCCCATATACCTCTCCTCCTTTGATTATTAGATTTTAGAAATATTTCCGACCCTAGTGTTTATTAAGAACCCCCTCCCCCGTTTATTCGCATGCAAGATTACTTATATCAACAACAATAACTAGAAATTAACTTTTATGAAACTAATAAGTAAATTTCAGACTTTTAATGTTTAGATATTATTCTACTGATTTTATTACAACTAATTTACTGAACACAAAAAATTCTGAAAAGTATGAAGTGAAAAGTGTATTAAGTGAAAAGTGTATCAAATGAAAAGTGAATCAAGTGAAAAGTATATCAATTCAAAAGTGTATCAAGTGAAAAGTGAATCAAGTGAAAAGTGTATCAAATGAAAAGTGAATCGAGTGAAAAGTGAAACAAGTGAAAAGTGTATCAAGTGAAAAGTGAAACAAGTGAAATGTGTATCAAGTGAAAAGTATATCAAGTGAAAAGTGTAGAGATATTTTGCACATGCAGTTATATTTTACAATATGCTAAAATTTTAAAAAGCATACCATAAACTTTTGGAAAACAACTATTTTGGTTTGTTGTAAAAATTTTTATTAAATGTTCAACATAACTTAAAACTGCAAATAAGCTTACATTTATAGATAATCAAATTATTATTTTTAGCTTTTAAAATATTTTATTCTATTTTAAAGAATTAGGTACTAAACAATATAAATTAAGTATTTTTTCTTAAATAAAATAAATATTATATATATATATATATATATATATATATATATATATATATATATATATATATATATATATATATATATATATATATATATATATGTTATATATATATATATATATATATATATATATATATATATATATATATATATATATATATATATATATATATATATATATATATATATATATATGTACGGCATGTTCTAAAATGTTCCGTTGCTCCTGAACTTGACCATTTGATCGTTTAAACGGTTTGTTTTGTGTTATTTTGTAATGTTTTATTATTACCTGATGACGCTGACCGCAATAGGTCAGCGAAATATCGTTAATATATTTTTACATCAAAATATATTTAAAAATAGTTATATGCTGCCTTTTTATTAAAATCAATTTACATTATATATATATATATATATATATATATATATATATATATATATATATATATATATATATATATATATGTATAATTTTTATTTTATTTTTGTAGAAAGCTTTATTTTTTCCGTATTAGCAAAATTTTTTTGAAATTAAACTTTATATTATATTAAATTTTATATCACTTTAATCTAGCGTAAAAAAAAAAAAATAAGTAATGAATAAATTGTACAGCGACATCAATTTTATGATAAAGTCGCTGATTCATTATTATTCATATTTTTGTTTTATAAATTAACTTAATTTAAACAATCTAATCAATTTATTTTGAAACTAAAAAGATTAAATACAAAACTAATGTAATAAAGAGCCTAATAGTTTGGTAAACAATACCTTTATTAATATTAGCTTCCTCAGCTCAAGGTAATAAAAAGTATGTTTATATTTCAAACGTAAACCACACGTCATATTATTTTACCAATATTGTTGTTGATAATACTTCATTAAAATTAGTTGCGAACATCTTAACGGGAGGAATTATTTATTTCTTTTTCGATTATAGCAATTATTTTAAAATTAAATTAGTATATACTAACTTATTTAACAGAAACGATAATTTTTGCCATTGTAATGTAATTATTACCACCGTTTTTGTTTTCATTTTTTTTTAATTATTTTGTGAAAGTTGTTATATATATATACGAAAATGTTCCTTTTCCATGCTGTTAATAGTCTGATATAAATTTCATTATCTCTTCATTATAATTGTATTATTATTAACAATGCAATAAATGCATTCACTTTAACACCCCTGTTATTTGCCAAACTTTTACTTCAATCTTGTCAAGAATCTCGTAAAATTTTAGTTTTAACTTTTAAATATAAACTAAAATATCGTAGATTGATCTTAGATTGCACATTGTAGGATTAAATTGTTGTCGAATTGATCATGTTAAAACCATAATATTTTATATGATTATATATAATAATAATATAAAAATGTTTTAAAATTTGTATATTATTTTTATATCATGTTGTTTCATAATACTGTTTAAATCTGTTTGCGTGTGCGCGCACGTGTATATATATATATATATATATATATATATATATATATATATATATATATATATATATATATATATATATATATATATATAATTTATAATACTAATTTTTAGAAGTTTGTTTTATTATCTTTTTAAACTTTAATTTTAGTTTTTATGTAAAAAAATGTTTATAAACAACCAACAAGACTAACTAACAATGCAAAACCAATCATCTGGATTGAACTCCTCTTATAAAAATGATGTCCAGCAACACCGTATGATCTTTTCGTATGAAGAAAGATTGACTGTTCGCATAAGCTACACTATTGTAACTTTAATAGGTAAGAAAAATTTTTTTTTTACTTATTTAAATTTCAAATAAAATTAAAAATGGAAACTAATTTTGATAACTTTGACGATTTTGTTAAGATCTTTATTAACTGAATAATGAGAACATAGTGACAGACAATCCTACCATATAACGCAAAAAAAACATGCGCTCTTCTAAAAATATTTACACGCAAACAGCTCAGCTATTGACGCATTATATTGCATTTACTTACGTGATTTAATACGCAACTAACGCTTAAAATAATTTCTTTTTTATCTTTTAATAAGAAAATGAAAATTATTCGTCACTAATTTTTTTTTTATTCCTAGGTATAATATTATATACATTTTTGAAACAAGTTATTGCCTTATTATTAAAATTATTTTTGTTAATGAATTTATTTTGTTTTGAGTTCATGTTATTTTTGTTTCTAAAGTTAAATTTACATATCACTATGAGGCAGCGTTGTTCGAATACTACTGATTTTACAAATACAAGCGGTTGCGTCGTTCGAATAATCGTTTAAACTCTTAAGAAGTTTTATTTTTATTTTAATTAATTATCGACTGATAATCAGATCAGCAATCATATGGCTTCGTCTCTTCTCACTTACAAACCAGAACTAAAATATTTTATGTAAAAGTTAAGTTGATACTGAATCTTTAATTTAAATGAAGAAATTAAAAAGTTAGCATACACATAGCTAATTCTTTACCATTTCTTGTAACTCAATTCGGCTCCCTCCTATTAGTTTGTGCGGGAAAAACTTCAGGAATTGACGAAAGGTTCACTTTCACTATTGAATTGAACTGTTATGCGGGAAAGATTTAAAGTTATAGTACAATCTTATCTAACTCAGTACTTTACATGTCGAATGCATTTTTTTAAAAACACTTTAGAAACTCATAGAATTAGAAAACCAAAGAATTCCATCACAAATTTTTTGTAACCTGGTTTTATTTTGTAAGTGGTATTGAAAACTATTTTTATAAATTGATTGGTGCTTCTTTTGTATCTTAAAAGCTTTGTTGTGAGATATTTCATTTATCAGCAGCGCAAGAAAACTGCAGTAATTTTAATGTTCCCAGTTCAATTTCAAGTTATCTAATATAATTGACATTATAAAAATTGTACTAATTATCTTCGTTAGACACATAAGTAATGTTTACTTCTTCAGCTGATTAAGTTTATTGAACAAAACTTGCAAGCATAATTTTTTTGAACCAGTTCAAAAGCTCTTTGAGAAGTTCGTTTGGCTGTTGAATTTCAATTTCATTTTAAAGATCAAAATATAAGGCCTCAATGTCGTGGTTAGTGGGTCGGAAGCCTCACATAAAGTATATAAAGTAGTATTAAAAAACAACGAAAAACAAAATCAGTATCTGCTAAAATTTTCACCTGGACAAAATGTATTAGTTATCAATGTTTTTCATATAGCCCTGATTTTTTAGATGAAATTATAATTCCAAAAATTTTCAGTTTTTTTTACCTAAAAAAAAAAAACACAAGACAACATAACAACAGCAAGAAACACATAAACTTGGAAGCATAGAGTTTTTTTAAATGTAAGTTAACAACAATGAAAAAGCAAGTTCTCTTATAAATAAACTAAAAATTAACACATAATGAAAATAATAATGATAGTAATACCAAAGCAAACTATCATATATATTTAATATATTTCGGAAAAGACTGTTAAGAGTGGTGTCACTTAAACAATTCATATCTTTAAAATCAATTTATTTATATTCTAACTTGAGTTAGTTATAAAGATGCAACATAATATAGACAGTATCAAGATATTAAGATCGGCTCAAGTATTTCATAAGTGTTTGTCGGCTTTTCGAATAAGAACAGCTCTATATTTTATTTTATATATGTATACTACTATACTAGAAATAATAATATTCTGATAAAAGATTGTATTATAAAAATTAAATAAAGGAAATACTTCATCATTTTTCTTTGAATCTTAAAAAATAATAGCTAAACGTTGAGCTTGTTTTAATTTTGAAAACCACAGCCTCGCTTTGAAAAACCTCCGAATTCTGTTCATGAGAAAAAGTCTATAAAAATCAAAACAAGCATTTTTCGAAATAATAAAGTAACAATAAATTGTGTTATTATTAATACAGGATAGTTAATTTGTTATTCTGTATTGATAATAACACAATTTATTAGTGCTCATCAGAGTATTTTAAAGGATATTAAAATCTACTTTAAAAATAAAATTTTCACTCTAAAAAATCCATAAACTTCAATAATGCTTATCGTACTTAAGGAATTTTTTCTGTTGATACTTTGTAGGTGTTAAAGTGCTCTTATGTGCTTAATACACGGAAGGGGAAGAGGAGACTAAATAATTTTTAGAAATTTTTTCACCCAACCCAAGGTTATTGAATGGTGCCTCTCCCCTCAAACTGTTAATCATTTTTACTTGTATCAACAACAACAACAAAAGAAACAAAAAAAAAACGACAAACAGAATATATGCATTTATCAGTCACTGATAAGATTAAACATTTTTACAACCTTCAAAAAATTCTTAAGCTGGTGGTAAGGTTGTTGCAAGCTTGTTTATGTATCTTCACACTAACCTTTTGATTATAAAAAGTTAAATATTAAAATTCTTACGAAACAAAAATTTTTTATAGCGAAAGTTGGCAAATTTCGGGCAGTTGGGTGAATATTTGCCGCAAACATCATCGAATCTGAACAAATGACTTCCAGGAAAATGCAGATATGAATTTGAGCATCCAATAGTTTTATTTACAACATAGTAATAGTTTGGAAAACAAATAAATATTTTATTTCTTTTATTTATTTGTTTTGAATTCGTTATATTTTTTTAAACAATTTGCACAACTTCGTGCAAGTTGACGAAGTAAAATTCAATTTCGTGCATTTCGTTTAGTTATTAAATTTGATAGATTTATTCAAGAAGATTAGCTAATTATCTTTAAGATAATTAGATTAGAAGAAGATTAGCTAATTATCTTTAAGATTAGCTAATTCCATGACCTTTTAATACTTGTAAAAACTAATAACCTTTGTAAAAATTGTAAACTAATAATAATTGCAAAAAACTAATTATGAAAGACTAAACAGACTAAAAAAAGGAAGGAAAAACTAAACTTTAAATTCTAAAAATGAACTAAAAATATATTTAACATTAATGCATGTAGACCTCACTGGTAAAACCAGAGATGTAATAAAAATTAGCGTTTAGTGATATTAAATATCTGTTTACTAATAATTTATTTAACTAAAAGTATATTTTTCTGACGTTTTAGTCGATATATACAATATAAATACGCAGTTTTTGTGCTAAATACTGGTATTCTTTTGAAAACAAAACACTCATTTTGGACATCTGTGGTTTTTCCGTTGTAAACTCATCAACTCATAAATTACGTTAGCTTGTAACCTTTTAAAGCACTTATTTTTTTAAAGGTAGATGGTAACACATTGCAATATACAACTAAAACGTACTAAGTGTGTGATGGGATAATAAAGCCATTCCCCCCCCCCCCCACTCCTCTTTGAAAAAAAATTAAGTAAAACATTATATGAAAGTTTTTTTTATCTTTATAAAAAGTAGCAATACAAACTTATCTCTTCCTCAACCTCATCTATTTACCACAGATGATTCCATGATGTCTGCGTTCCATCTCTTTATATCAAGTTTGTATAAACCATACAAAAACCAATTGTGAACACAACGTTAATAAAAATGTTTTGTTTTTAACTTCAAATGAAAATAAAATAAATTAAATAATGTCTTATTTTGTCCATTCAAAAAATCTTTAGATTTAGTAAATTTTTAAATTTTTTAAAAAAAAAGACAGCAGAGCTATGTAAGTTTGTTTGAGTTTATCAGGCACTTTGATCATTGATCTAAACATATATAGTGTAACACACATAAAATTAAATATTTCAATTTTTCCATATAATTAAACATTAACTTTTAATATTTCATAACATTCAATATATCGATTTCTCGAAGTGAGCAAGACATGCTCACCTATTGAAATTGTCATGCTCACTTAATTTCTCTAAGTGGGCATGACAAACAACCAAGAAGTTTGGCATTGAAACTCTGCAAATTTCAGAAATTTTTCTTGTATCATGATTATAAAAAATATTGAATTGTTATGGATTTTTGTGAGATCGTAAAGTCTTTCTGCAAGAAACACTTTACGATCTCACAAAGAAACTTTTGATTTGCAATGGCCAATGTTTCTGTCACATTTTTTAGAGGTGTAATGCCTAAACATAATGTGACAGAGTTCTAATTGGTAATAAAAGAGTTATGCTATCAAGTTTTTCAGTTTTACAAACTAGATGATAAAATCAAATTAAAACTTTTTTTTTGTATTTTGCCTAGCTCATAAATTGCAAATATATTTGATATTCTTTACACTTGATAACAATTGATAATTTAAAATCATGCAGCATAGAACATACAACATCAGACCACTTGTTTCCAACAGTTTCATCATAACAATAAAAATATAATTTTTAAATTGAAAGTATATTAGTATTAAAAAAATAAAACAGGTATTGCCTGGAATAGTATACTATTGGTTTCAAACGTTTAAGCATTTTTTTATGTTTTTCTGTAAACGTAAAAATGTTTTCTTCATCCGAAAAGTATATATATATATATATATATATATATATATATATATATATATATATATATATATATATATATATATATATATATATATATATATATATATATATATATATATATATATATATATATATATATATATATATATATATATATATATATATATATATTATATATATATATATATATATATATATATATATATATATATATATATATATATATATATATATGTATATATTATTCAACCATATAAACTTTACAAATGCTCAACTTAAATTAACGGAATTTGATTAGGTGTCACTCATATAGTTACAAACTAGTCATTGGATCTAGAAAGAAAACTTAAAGTTCTTGAAAAAAAAGAGAAA